TTGCATAATATCATCAGACCATCAGTGAAAAAAAGAATCGCCTATTTTATTTGGCAATATTTCGACATTAACAGATATTTACTATTTAATTTATGTATTCGTCATTAGAGTGAATAGCCCAGAAAAATAAATTGGTTTTGAAAGGCCTTAATATGGTTTTTAGGGTTCCGTAGCCAAATGGCAAAAAACGGAACCCTTATAGATTCGTCATGTCTGTCTGTCCGTCCGTATGTCACAGCCATTTTTTTCCGAAACTATAAGAGCTATACTGTTGAAACTTGGTAAGTAGATGTAATCTGTGAACCGCATTAAGATTTTGATGCAAAAACTACCAACGAAAATTGTTTTGAACGAGATCTAGTAAGTAGTTTTTTTTTAATGCCTCGTAAATCGTAAACCGCTTATTACCGCGTAATATTTCATACTAATAACTTAAATAAAGAATAATAATTTTAATTTCATAAGTCAATGGTACGGAACCCTCGGTGCGCGAGTCCGACTCGCACTTGGCCGGTTTTTTTGTAACTATTTGTACTTTAAATAAAAGCCGTCATTATTGTAAGCCATTTTATTGATATTTACCTCAAAGATTAATGTATTTCATTTTAATAATAGGAAATTGTCGTAGTTTTTTAATATCCGGTATCCGGCCGGATAGTGAGTTACTATCCGGTATCCGGCCGGATAGTAAATTTAGGCCGGATATCCGGCCTACCGGATAGTTACCGGATATCCGTTTCATCTCTAATCGATACTGATGCCAAAAATGCAATCAGTAAAAATTTTGTCTGTCTGTCTGTATGTTCCTTATAGAAACAAAAACTACTCGACGGATTTTAACGAACTTTGGTACAATTATTCTTCATACTCCTGGGCAGGTTATAGTATACTTAGGAATTCCCACGGAAACGGGAATTAGCGGGAAAATCCTTTTGTATAAAAAATCAAAACCGCTTAAGTTAGACGCTTTTTGGCAAGCAGGTACCTTAGTAAACTTAAAGCTTAATTACAACAGGATATTGCAAAATTCCCACGGGAACGGGAGTTAGCGGGAAAAAACATATGTATGAAAAAATCTAAACCGCGTAAGATAGATGAAGGGGGTAAAACGGGATCCACGCGTACGAAGTTGCGGGCAGCCGCTAGTGTAAACTAAACTAAAACCCTAAGCGTAAAATGAAACCATACGCGTGAATCATAATAAACATATAAATATTGAGAGACTTGTTTAATAAGCGTAATATTTGTTTTGTTGCGCTTGCGCATACTGTACCTACTTACTTATCAATATGTACTCCATTTAAAAAAAATAGGTGGCAGTAGCGGCGCGGCGCCCCTATTGTCTTGGCGCCTGTGTGCGCCGCACACATCGCACACAGGGGCGGCGCGGCCCTGCATATCGGAAGCATGATCAGATAGTGCCAATAATAAAAAGTCTATTTTTTATTATCTAGTAGATATATTAACTACCTGACGGTATTTTTGATCTCAATTTTAATTAAATTTTTGGATGTTCAGAAAAAAGTACATATTACCAAATAACACCTTTGTTGATGAAACGAATTTAGTGTATTTTATTGTTAATCAATTTAAACTATTATGACATAAATTTAACTACATAAATATTATTATTTACAGTAAAAATGTAAAACTGTCACATCCGTGTCATGCAGTGTCACAGCCGTGTTTACGTAGGCTATTTTGTTTCCTTTCCGAGGGCTTTAAGGTTGTCCATATACATCAAAAGTAGAGATGAAACGGATAGTTGTTTGGCCGGATACCGGATACCGGATATCCGGCCAGCTGCTAGGCCGGATAGCCGGATATCCGGCGGCCGGATAGTTGGCCCATTGTCTCGTTGCATGTCGTGACGAGTTTAGCGCCGTACAGGTGCTTCGAACGCGATCAGTGGGTCTATTAATAGACTAGACTAGTCACACTTTTCGAAAATCGAATCAGTCTGAATATAATGTCAGATTTTGCCACTTGTGTAAGGGGCAGATCAATTCGGGCGATTTCGGGTGCCATCGTGAGTGTGTGATTGAACAGCGAAAATTAAATTACTTTACTTGCTGCGCAATGATATTATTATACAGGGTGACTGGAACTGAACCCGCCATAGCTAATACGCGTATAGAGGAGGTCATTTGCTAATTATTGAACCTTACTTTCTATGGCTAAAGTTTTATAGTTTAGGAGATAATAATATGTCAATTTTTATACTTTTTTCAGATTTTTCCGAAATTAGACCTAAAAACTGCTTTTATTTTTTGTCTCGCGTGATTTCAACAGTTTTTTTATTTGATATTAATATCGAATATGTCTTTATTCAAATAAAATAAATTTCTGATCCAGATAGTGATTGAATAGCTAGTTACGAGCCGTTAAAGTCTAACAAAAGTACAAACGACGATAAAAAATTATACTTCGAATTCGATTGAAACAAAAATTAATGGTGAAAATGGATTGCCAATAATCTTAAAAATATCTCTTGCTTCTCTTCTTTCCAATGATATATCACACGTTGTAATTAGATATTTAAATTTGTCAAAAAATCAAAGTATATGGAAGAAAATGGAGTAATAATACAAAAATTATCCATACAAAGTTGATTTTGAATTTTTTTAAACTCTTTTCTTCATAATTTGTGATTATTATTTCAAATTCATTTTTCAAAAAACACACAAAAATAGTTATGAAAAGGAGTATAGCAGAAAATATGAGATGTTTGAAGAAACTTTGTATGGATAATTTTCGTATTATTACTCCATTTTCTTCCATAAACTTTGAATTTTTAATAAATTTCAATATCTAATTACTACGTGTGATATATCATTGGAAAGAAGAGAAGCTAGAGATATTTTTAAGATCATTGGCAATCCATTATCACCATTAGTTTTTTTTTAAATCGAATTCGAACTTGAATTTTTTATCGTGGTTTGTACTTTTGTTGAACTTTGGCGGCTCGTAACTAGTTATTGAATCATTATCTAGACCTGAAATTTATTTTATTTAACTAAAGGTTTATTCGATATTAGTATCAAATAAAAAAATCGGTTAAAATCATGCGAGAAAAAAAAATAAGCAGTCTTTAGGTCAAATTTCGGAAAAATCTGAAAAAAGTATAAAAATTGACATATCTTCTGAACTATAAAACTTTAGCCATAGAAAGTAAGGTTCAATAATTAGCAAATGACCTCCTCTATACGCGTATTAGCTATGGCGGGTTCAGTTCCAGTCACCCTGTATAATATCATTGTTGCTGCGTAATCTGACTGAACTGCATCATGACATCAGACCAGGCCAGAGCCCCGATTACGGTAACTTTTAACGTCTACAATCCAGACACGCTTCTCGATTCTGCGATACGATTGGTCGTTCAACAGCGTACGTCAGCTGTTTTGACCAATCGTATCGCAGAATCAGAAACGCGTCTGGATTGTAGACGTTAATAAAAGTTACCGTAATCGGGGCTCTGTTCATCTCCGCGAGTTTACATCGAAAACAAAACACGCACGATGGCCCACCTACAGGATACTATTCGACATGGCCTCACATACGAGCGAACATTGACTCACGCACGCGTATTCTTGTGTATGATGGAAGAAAATAAAGAAAATGGTGTTCTAAATACTGTGCAGTATTTAACTGCCTAAATAATAATAAAAACACATAATGTACTTTTTTAAGTTGCCTCAAGACACTGAGAGNCCTTACTTATTATTATTCTGTGATCAGACCATCAGTGAAAAAAAAATCGCCTATTTTATTTGTCAAATTTCGACATTAACAGATATCTACTATTTATGTATTCGTCATTATAGTGAATAGCCCAGAAAAAGAAATTAGTTTTTTTAAAAGCCTTAATATGGCTTTTTTGTAACTTTTTGGACTTTAAATAAAAGCCGTCATTATTATAAGCCATTTTATTGATGTTTACCTCAAAGATTAATGTATTTCATTGTATTAATAGGAAATTGTCGTAGTTTTTTAATATCCGGTATCCGGCCGGATAGTGAGTTACTATCCGGTATTCGGCCGGATAGTAAATTTAGGCCGGATATCCGGCCTACCGGATAGTTACCGGATATCCGTTTCATCTCTAATCAAAAGTATGCTTTTGGTTTATACTTTCGATACACATCGCAAAAAGTAAAAAAAAAAATCTTTATTTTAAAAAAAAAAATGGCACAAATTTAAGAATGGCCCTTAAGGTACTTTAAGGTCTGCACCAAAGCTTGAATGCACAAAAAATTTAACATGTGTTTTTTCGTCATTTTTTTTTTTCAAAAATGTTCGCACCGACTTCTGCTGCTAGTCTATTATCTAACCAAGTGACCCCATAGAAGGTAGCAGAAGCCGCTTGACTTAGGCCGCTACCGGCCAATCTGGGAATCATGGTCTATGTTTAGCAGTGTTCGTCCTACAACTGAAACGCTGATGATGATGATGATGATCTAAGCCAGTGGTTCCCAAACTTTTTTAGTCTACTGCCCACTTAGAGAATGAATTATTTTTAGCGCCCCCCATTTTTGTAGTCAAGAGTCGAGCTCAGTCGATGTCTAAGAGTCCTCCTAGTAGATGACGCCTCCCAAGCCTCTACACAAAGTCCCGATTTTTTTTCAGGGTCTCTTACCGCCCCCCTTTAAGCCTGCAGCGCCCACAAGGGGGCGTTATCGCCCACTTTGGGAAAGACTGATCTAAGCATACTAACCTGCTGTAGGAGGCACGGACACAGCCGCTATGCTCTGGAACATTCGCACGAGTCCGTACGACGACGCGATGCGAGCGGTGCCGAACGCGTCGGCCAATAGCACTGGTACGAGGAGGAACCAGCAGCCGAGGCACAATCCGTATGCCGCTGGGAACACAAATAATATGTTTTTGACGCTATGAACCAATATGAGTACCTAATCTTTATGAGATCGAATCAGAGATGAGGAGATCCGTAAACGAACTAAAGTCGCTGACATAGCCCGACGGATTAGCAAGCTGAAGTGGCAGTGGGCAGGGCACATAGTACGCAGAACTGACGGCCGATGGGGCAGCAAGGTTCAGGAGTGGAGGCCACGTATTGGAAAGCGCAGCGTAGGACGTCCATCCACAAGGTGGACCGACGGCCTCATAAAGGTAGTAGGAAGGAGCTGGGTGTAGGCCGCTACCAACCGACTTTTGTGGAAATCATTAAGGGAGGCCTATGTTCAACAGTGGACGTCCTATGTCTGAAATGATGAAGATAATGAACCAATAATCCCCGGTTTCCACCAAAGCGGAGCGGTGCAGAGAAGTGTGTGGAATACATAACCAAGCGTCGCCGCCGCTGTCAAATTGTTTAAAGAAAAATTTTACGCCCCGTCACTTCTCCGCTCCGCTCCGCTCCACTTTGGTGGAAACCGGGCCTAATTCCAACTCGTTGACCAGACGATCTAGTGAAACTCGCGGGAAGCAACTATGTAAGTAAGTATTCGCATTTATGAAAATGTTATTGAAATTTTTGAATATTTAAATAACCAGAACTTATTTATTATTGGGGAACTATAGTTACCTGAAGCAATCGCAAGTGCCCACCAGGATGTGAAGCTAGGAAGAGTCAGAACTGCTATACCGGCCACTAGGATACTGGAAAAAACAAGACACATTACAAAACAATGCTAGAGCCTTCCTTGTTATGTAGGTACAGTATTTAAAAATCCTCTCTGTTTCAAAGGGAGTATATCATCATCAGAGGTGGAATTGTGTAAAGCAATCGTAATCATTTGACAGTTCATAACGTACGATAAAGTCAGTTAAACAAAGCGTTTGACAGAATATTCGTACGTTGCTTTACACAATTCCACCTCTGGTAATTTAGTCTCCAATGCAGTTGGGCGATTATACCACTGCACCGCGCTCCGCCGCGGTACGCGGGACGACAGATTTAATCATTATATTTTATGCAAGTACCTCAGTTTGTATAGAAAACACGCGCGGCACTTCACACTGACAACGCGTTTGCGCGCGGGATTTTTTATAAATGTCGCCACGCGGACCGCGGCGGAGCGCGGTGCAGTGTGATAATCGCTTTGCATGACCCTTTCTTCTCAACAATATTCAGTGTCAAATAGTTCGTTTCGTGACACCCAATGTAGCCAATAAGTTCGCAACACGTCTTTGTTGCAACAGGATTCAGGTCAAGTTTTGTCAACTTTTGGCCACTTTGGGTGTCCCAAATTATTTGACAATGACTGTACAAGCGGACTACAAACCCGGCGTTGGCCAGAGAGACCTGATGTTCGCATCGATTAGTCGCCTCTTACGATATCCACGGGAAGAGTCATTGTTTCGTACCGAAATATATTTATTAGTTTCTTAATTTTAGTTTAAGATAAAACAACACAAACTGGAAGGAATTTGCTCTTTTCTTAATTGCATTTTTTAATCACAAACTGGCAACATTCTTTCCAATCCTATGGAGCTAGGCTCGCGATTGCGATTGCGACGCCCCCCAGTGACGCAAGAGTTTTGAGTTCGGAAGGACGCCCGTGCGCAACAGCGGTGTGTTCTTTAATTCGGCAACCACATAAGCGTTTGTCAATTTCCAAAATCAAGTGAATCTAATGAGTGCGGGATCCAGCCCCTATGGAACTATGGTCTTTTTCATCAATATGTGCTAATACTTCACAAGCAAACTGCATTTCGGAGATACGCCGGGCCCGGCTAAGCACGCGGCTGGCACTGTGGAAAAGAGGTTTGTTCGCCGTTTGTTTGAAAATTTAGTATAGCTAACATATTATTTGTTGGTCCTTCGAGCCGAATTTTCATTTTCCTTCCAATTGTGTAGTTTTATCGTAATTTTAGCGTACATACGTACCACATTTTTCATTCCACGTGCGACCATCTTTGTAACGCAAAATGGCGCAATCGAAAGTGGAAAATGATTCCAAGACCTCATTAGATTACAATAGCGAGAGTAGTAGTTCATGTGTTCAGGATATTTTCGAGCGAGATTTAATTTTAGACGATTTAAAGAGAACATTACAGTTTGCAACTACAGATATTCAAAAATTCATTTCACGTACCAAAGATTTGTCAGCTCTTCAAAGAAAGTTTAGCAAATTGCAAACTAAAGTCGAAAAGTCTCTCATTAAATCTAAATCATTCAATAAAGAGGAACAAATCAAAATTAGAAACGACTTCGACGATTCGTATTATGCAATTGTCACTCAAGTAGATAAATTAAAACAATGTCAGGAGCAAAGCAGACGAATGAGTCGTCCCTTTGCTAATTCAGAATTTTCTAGTAATGCTAAATTACCTACTTTGCCTTTGCCCAGTTTCTCTGGCGAAAGCACAGAATGGAATTCATNAAAATTTAGTATAGCTAACAGTCATGTTCATCCAATTTAGCTTCTTCTTCTTCCTGTCGTGTCGACAAACCTACACAGCGTCGGCCCAAAACTCCACCACAAGAAAGGCGTTGTCAGATGCCTTATTAAATCTTCCTGCGTGCAGTTGTTTGGGCACGCAGGGCACGACATCATGTGCTTCATCGACTGGGGAACAAAACCACACTTGCACTCCAAGTTTGATCCATCCAAGAATCCCCACCTAACAGATTGTGATAACCTAACACCTTACTGGGCCGACTTGCGTCCGAAATCTATTTAAAGATTTCCAGGTAGGCCAGGGGAGCTCATGTCCAGGTGGAGGACTCTCAGACATATGGACAAAAGGGCAGGGGAGATCAGCACTCTCGCGCCATAACCTGCATCTTTCTTTTGACCGATCGTCATGAAGGAGAGGACACACTTACAAAATTGTTTAAAAGTAAAAGTAAAAAGTAAAAAATGTTTTATTTGACGAAACAGAGCGACATCACATTTACATAAATTACATAAAGAAGATAAACATTGTGCCCTGCTGTCAAATAGGGGCCCGCTCAGCATTAATCGGGGCATGCCATGGGCATGCCTCGACACCGATTTTCAGCGGGTCCCTTGACGTTGCTGCGCCCTACCGCCGAAGGAGAAGCACTCCGTAAAGTACCTGTCCGTCGGCGGGAACACGCAATAAGGGGGCGGCAAAAATGTACCCATAAAAAACAAACACAAAAATCAAATAAAAAATCAAATAAAAAATAATAAAAACAAAACAACAAATCAACAAAACCAACATTTATGCAATCTACGACAAATCAGGGTGGCCATGACCATAAGTTTCGAGTTTAATTAATCCAATTAAGCTGCCTGAACCCATCAAAAGAGAGGATACAATGACTTTTGCCAGCGTGGAATATGAAGGTCAAATTCTCCATTTACCTCTGGTTTAAAGGTTTGTGCTCCTGTAGTGGAGACTAAATGACCTGATGATGATGAAATAAACAAAACAATCAACTCACCTGACGATGTAAGCCTTCCGTCTGCAGAAGAGATGCAGGTCGCAGAGGTACCCGAGTCCCAGTCTGCCGCAGAGGTCAAGCACAGCACTTATGGCTACCAGGTGACCTGCAAACAACATCATGGCTGATGGGTACCTATACATTGGGTTACTTTGTAACCAGTGACCAAATATTTCTTGAGTAAAGTCCGGTCGCGAAGCAAATAGAATTTCGTACAATGACCCCAAGCTGCCCATCCTTATCGCTCGCGCGTAATTATATTGCTGTCGCGCTCGTACACTCACTGCGGCCGCCCGTCGCACAGTCACGACGACAGCATTACTTATATTAAGCGAGTGATAACGATGGGTAGCTTGGAGTCATTGTACGAAATTCTATCTGCTCGGCGACCGGACTTTAGAACACTCATGATTCTGGTTATTCTGGACAATTTTTACAGTGGGATAAGCTAGGCAGTCTAGTCGGTTGGAGGTAATTAATTTTAGATTTGGTCTTGCCCTTTGGAGGAAGAAGCGCTTATAAGCAAAATTGGTGATCGGTAAGCGCTGTCACTGCTAAAAAATGAATGAATCACGTCACTATTGAAGTTGGCAAATGTTTAAATCAAACGTGTCCTCGCCAAAAACTGCCGTCACCCATTGATCCATTCTTTTGTCTTTTGTTTATCTGGCATGGGGCGTGTAGGATTAACTCCTCCATTTGTCTCTGGTAAATTATGTCGTGATCCTACAGTGATGATGATGATGATAATGAATCAAGTATACCTGCAGCAGACTTGCTGTGTCCCTTAGCCACGGTGTACGCCGGCAGGTAGTATAAAGCATAGGGGGAACCACAGGACATAAGCGCCACGGAACCGCATAGGAGGCCGAACCGCCAGTCTTTGAGCAAGGAGACGTCCAGGTACCTGTGGGAGACAAGTTATTATTATTATTTGAAATTGAAATTGAAATTGAAAAAAAATATTGTCAGACCGGGATCCATAATAATTATTGATTTTTGGGCCTTCATTTGCGCCATCTCGACCAGATCTATTGTGGCAGCCCTTGTGTTTAGAGTTCACTGCTTAGTCCCGTTGAGTCTATAAACCAGATTCTTTGGAGCGTGATATCTGCTATCTCATCCGGGTGCATGACGTGTCGCCCGAGATGGATACTTCGTTTGCTCATAAGCTACATTTAATGAGCGATTAGATATTATCACTGGAAGACGTAATGTGGGCAGGCTTCCCACTAGGTGGACCATAGAGATACCATCTAAGTAATGCGCTGAGTTCGAAACACAGTGTCGCATTAGAAATGCACACACACAAAGTAATCAAAATTATATGCTCATTATCCATTGCGGTATCAGTACTCAACGTTCGAATATAGTACTAAAGCCTGGTCCGTGAGCGAGCACGTAGAATTTTGTCCAATGACCCCAAGCTACCCATCCTTATCGCTCGCGCGTAATTATATTGCTGTCGCGACTGTGCGACGGGCGCCCGCAGTGAGTGTGCGAGCGCGACAGCAATATAATTACGCGCGAGCGATAAGGATGGGTAGCTTGGGGTCATTGGACAAAATTCTACGTATTCACGGACCGGGCTTTAGTAACAATAACCCTTACCTGGATATTTTCTCAATGCAGCTTCTCTTTGCTTTCTTGGGTTGTACGACGTCCACCTTCTGCGCTTCCTGCTCCTGCTTGATGATGACTGGTTCTGCCAACTTGTTCTGGATGAGCCGGCTGGGCAGCGGCGGCCGGATGTAGAGGGACCTAAAACAAATAAATTGACACTAGACACTAAATAAAAAAAAGCGTTAATTTTAGTCCTGGCAGGGTCGCCATGTAATTTGTGACGACCAGTCCTGCGTTGCCTGCATTGTGCTGTTTCCCGAGATCTTCACCAGATCGTCGGTCCACCTAGTGAGGGGCATGCCCACGCAACGTCTTCCAGCCCGTGGTCATCACTCGAGAACTTTTCTGCCCCAAAGGCCATCATCTCTATGAGCTTTAAGAAATTTTCTTTCTCGTAGGGATACAGTAATACTAACCTGCTGAGTTTTCTCCTGCTCGCTTTGTAAACGCAGGTGCTGTCTGTTGACAGGTCTTCCACAGAGTGCAGGATGGACGAAGACCTGGTTGGTCGGAGACGAAGCTTGGCGACTTCCCTGGGCAGACCTGGGCATGAAAAAAACTATTTGTATTTCCGTTTAAATTATTTGAAGTTATGGCGTCACCACAATAATGTAGCGGTCTATGGGGATCGAACTAGCGTTCTCCGAATCGGCAGCGTGACGAGACCAATAAGGTTGGGCTATAATAGTCGTTAGTGTAGTAGTAGGGTTGCACCATCTTACTTTACTTTGACAAACGTCAAAATTCTGTCAAACTCCATACAAAAAACACCAGTTAAAACTAAAGTTACGGTCAAAGTTAATCAGCCTTAAAAACGCATAATATAGGTATTTCAAATTCTAATATTTTATTTCTAAAACTATTCTTACTTACCAACTACACCCAGGACATCCATAACTTCAGAGTCTTCTGAATCTGACAAGTTTGACTGCAAGGGTGGACGAGCGACCTGCGAAAAAGACAAAGTACTATAGTTAATTAATTCAAGGAAAAAAAACATCAAGCCTCGCTGATGTGTTCGTAGCCAACTTCACACAGCAGCAGCAGACTTCGTGTCATCGCGACACTGCTGGTTTCTTGTATGTCTATGAAAAAGCATCTGATGCTATCGATACGTCTGAAAGTACCTAAGTATTTCATAGAAAGATACAAATCTGGACCGACGATTTGGTGAAGTTCGCAAGAAGTATAGCCTGACCAGGAACATAAAAACCCTGGCATAGAGGCGCGTCAATTGCATTTGATAGCGCAACACTGAGTACAGTCGTACCTGTGTTAAATTAATAGGCTAACTTTATGTATCAGGATTCAGGATTACGGGCTAATTTGATATTTTCATAAATTAACGAAAAAATATTATTATAGGTAACCTGGTTTAAATAAATTAAATGAAACCATCAATCGAGCTAGTAGGATTTATTTTATTATTCATCAATAATCAAATTCATAACTTGAATATTCAACTGCAATGTTTGCTCATGAACGCTTCAAACTCGGTACTTCTTTCCCATGTCCATAAAATTCAACACTTAGAAAGTGACAAAAAATTTTAAAATAGGTAGTTGAAACAAACCACAGCTAATTTTCATAGTGGACTGTACTATGCGATAAACATGTCAGTCAATTTGACAACCTTTGTCGGAAACATTATTCAATGAAAATATTGTCCGAACCCTTAGTATTTCTCTTCGACAAATACTTTAACACATTGTAAACCACTTTTCTTTCACGAATAGAAGGATTATAGCAATTTAATTCACAAAATCAATTGCGCACATTTAAAATAAAGTTTGTTTACACTTTGACAGCAATAGACTGACATGCAAGGTGACATGCCAATGAAGTTTTCAGTTACTGTTGCCATTAAAAGAAATTAGTACCATTAGTTTTCCGCAACATGGCGAGGGTTTTTATGTTCCTGGTCAGGCTATACCTGGATGCGGGAAACGCAGGACCGGTCGCTGAAGAAATCCTTGGGCTTTGTCCAGCAGTGGACGTCAGAACATAGAAATTAGGGTCTAATGATGATGATGGATTGACTCACTTCAATAAGGCTAGGATGGATGATCTCAGTGATGAGGTTGGTTCGCTTGGCTTCCTCAGTGAGGAGGGCGTTTTTCTGGTTGAGGGCAGACTCAGGGTCCAGTTCGAAGAGGCGCTGCAGGCGGTAGTCTTTGGAATCCATTTTACCTGAAATGGAAAAAAACTATATGACACCAAATTCATCATCATTAGGTACTAGCGTTAGTCTGCAGATTCGCGTGAGTTAACTCTGGAATATCTAGTTTAATTTCTCCATTGTTTTATCCCAAATACCCTCGGTGGTCTAGTGGTAAGAAGACCACTTCCCTCATGGGAGCATGTGCTCGGTTCGGTTGGTTCCTAATTCTTCTTACCTAAGTATGTCGCTTTAACAATTTATCAGCAGTTGGATGTAAGTCACTTCTGTGGTGGAGGAAAATCGGCCTAAATATCACTATTCATCAGGTTAGGTGCAGGCCAAGAGTTTCCTTGTTGTGGATAAAAAAGTACTTGCGAAATAACACTATTACCACTGCACAAAGAGTCTTCTTGGCAGGAATGCCAAACTTATATGGTAGTGGGCGGGGCATATAGCTCGTATAGCTGATGGGCGCTGGGGCAGAAAAGTCGAGTGGCGACCACAGGCCGGAAGACGTAGTGTGGTCAGGCCTCCCACTAGGTGGACCGACGACCTCATAAAGGTAGCAGGAAGGCGCTGGATGCAGGCCGCCGCTACCAACCGGTCATGGATATCTTTGGGGGGGGGGGCTGTGTTCAGCAGTGGATATTCTGTGGCTCATATGATGATGATGCTGACTCACACTCCTGTATGTCCTGCAGCAGCGTGGTGTTCTCTGTGGTGTAATATAATAAGTTGCCATCTCTCTCACACAAAGCGAGATGACAGCATGAGCGACGGTGACAAATAGACCAGAAACTAGGTACCTACTACTTTCTGTGCCGTGACAGCCCCTATCACCGCTCCACAAGGTCTGCCATACTCACACTTCTAGAATGCCATAGGTACTCATCACACTCCTATAAAATGTTCTTGCAAAACAGCTCCTATCACCGCTCCACAAGGTCTACTCTGGTCTACTCACACTCCTGTATGTCCTGCAGCAGCGTGGTGTTCTCAGTGGAGGTGGTGGCGGGGGTGGGGCTGCGCTCGCGGGGGGCGGGCGGCGCGCGGTACAGCGTCGCCGACACACACACGTGCAGCATGCCTCCGCCTGTACAAGAAAATAATAAGGGTATTTCTCATCGCCACGGTTCTCATCGTCACCTTCGTGGCGAATTTTATTTCTAACTTATTTCAACTGTTTGTAAACAAAAATTGTAGCGCTTGATGTGAAGATTGTATTCTCAATAAATCAGTCAAATAGTGAGTCTCGTTTGGAAGCTTTAACGTTTTGAATTTTTTGATGCCACGAAAGTGATTCTGTACTTCACAGCAATAATTTTTTTGAACTTTACTACTGTAAATGACTCTTAAGTGTTTATAAAACATATATTTTGTCTTATTTTCATAGATAAATAGCAATAACATAATATAAATAGGTACCTACTTAAATACAAGATAAAATTTTACCGATTACGTCACCTACTAAGTTACAAGATTCTACGCAATTGGTTTTAAGGGTGGGTGGCATTCTGAAATGCTAAGGAAGCAAAAAACGGATTATCAGTACCTCAATAAAAAAAGAACTCTAACTGATTTATCAGTCCCTCAACAAAAATATATTTTTTATTTAGGCCAGAGGGCACAACTTTTAACTCAAATTTCAGATTAAATTTATCTTACAAACAGATACACAGTCACATATACAGACAAACATACAGGCATACAGACAGACAACAAAAATACGAGGCCCTTATTTATTTATTGATGTATTGATCTCTACTTACCACGTATAATTTATTAGTTATTAAAATATTGTAAAAACATAAACACCAGTCACTATATTTTAAAATAAACCAAAGCAAGAAATCACTTTCGTGGCCTAAAATCACTTTCGTGTATAAAACACCACGAAGGTGATGCCACGAAGGTGACGAAAATTTTGGTTTTTTATGAATTATCCTTAAATTTGAATTTAACGGTTCACGTCGAATACTACACAAATAAGTCTAACATGTTAAGTTTTCAATGGCAAAGTTTCAATTAAATTGTTTAAATTTTAGAGGTAGAAAATATTTTTCAAGCAAGCGACGGTAAGTCTATGGATAATCACAAAAAGTTACGTATTTTTTTCGCGGAGCGACGATCGACCTATCTCACCTCCCCAATGGTCGAAGCGCGACTGACGTTAACCGAATACAACGCTGTGATTGGTTGCTGGTGTTCGGTTTAACGGCAATCTTGTATTAATACTCAAAATTTTAGGTACCTAAAATCGTGTGACCAACGTATTTCGCTTTCTCAATTCAAAATAATTATAAGAAGATATTTTTTTGACTATTGTGTGGAAAGTATATTTAATAACGATGATTTTAGTATATGCTACACACAAATTGAATGAAAATTGTGAATGCAGTAAACAAATGTTTCATTGCAACCGAAGGTGTGACACGATGAGAACGCGAAAAATGACCCCGTTTTTGATCGTTTCATGTGATTTTTTCGTATTATTTTTGCTTCTATTACGATAAAATTTATTTTGTATGTAGCTAAATAGATATTTTATCATCTAATTTCAAAGTTATTGTTCTAACTTATACCGTTTATGAACTATTATTGTGTGACCATCAAATTTGAGTGTAAATGAGAAGTACCCATAATCATCTCCATAGATCGTTTCATTCACGAAGACTGGTCTGTGAGCACGTAGAATTTTGTCCAATGACCCCAAGCTACCCATCCTTATCGCTCGCGCGTAATTATGTTGCTAACGCGCTCGCACACTCACTGCGGTCGGCCGTCGCACAGTCGCGACAGCAATATAATTACGCGCGAGCGATAAGGATGGGTACCTTAGGGTCATTGGACAAAATTCTACGTGCTCCCGGACCAGACTATAGTACCAAACTAAGCAAAGCTTGTACTATGGGCACTATAGACAACAGATATAAACATACTTAAATACTTTTTTTTTTTGTAAATACATACATACATAATATACATAGTAGCACCCAGACCCATCACAGAAATTAAAATTCATTATTTCAATTTCTGCCCTGCCGGGAATTGAACACGGGACCTCTCGGCATAGTAGTCCGTTCTGAACCACTACACCAAACAGCCGACCGATCATCTCTATAGATAGTTTCATTCCCGAAGACGCCACCATTCTTCCACTAATGTTTGAGTGTTATCGGTACACGCTAATCATCCATGAGTGCACACGCACACTACAGTAATGCCTTACGGATTGCTCGGACCACACTCCCCGCACCCCGCGCGACCGAGACCAAACATTGCTGGGGCGCGGCCGAGTGGATAAAACGATCTATACTCCGCTCCGCTTTGGTGGAAATGAATCGAGCGGAGAAGAGAGGAAAAACGTAGGGCGGACGAATTTTTTATACAATTTGAAAATGGCGGCGGCGCGGATCGTATAGTTCCAAAATACTGAACTGTCCTATGCATGACATTGACAGTGGGGCGCCACCGTCAATACCGGATCGCTAGTTCCGATTTTTGCCATGTTGGAAACCATATAGTTGAACGATGGTAGCGCCCCCCTGTCATTGAGTTTGGCGGGACAGTTCACCGTGGGTCATCTATAGCTTCATAGACGGCAAATGGCAATAGACTGACAGCTGACAGCTACGCGTAGCTCACACACCACTCGTCTCGTCTCCTCTATGCTCTTCTCAGTTCCGCTTTGGTGGAAACCGCTTGGATGCCATCAGCGCAGAACCCGTCGTTGTATAAGAAATCTTGGGCGAGGTCTTTGTCCAGCAGTGAACGTCTTTGGATTGAAATGTTTTATTTTTGATTTTTAACTTTTTTTTTATGTGACAGGAGGCAAACGAGCAGACGGATCACCTGATGGTAAGTGATTACCGTCGCCCATAGACACCCGCAGACCCAGGGGCGTTACAGGTGCGTTGCCGGCCTTTAAGGTGAAGATACGCTCTCTTCTTGAAAGCTTGCAGGTCGTATCTGTCCGGAAACACCGCAGACGACAGTCCATTCCACAGTTTGGTTGTACGGGGCAGGAAGTTTCTGGAGAATCGTACTGTTGTGGACTGCCAACCATCTAAGTGATGAGGATGGAAGTGCTGTCAGGTAGATCGGTGGCGAAAAGTGGCGGTAGGGATAAGTCCAGACAATTCTTCGGAGCACTCCCCGTGATAAATGCGATAGAAGATGCACAGTGAGGATACATCTCTACGCAGCGCCAAGGGGTCAAGCCGATCCGAAATGTCCTGGCAGTCAACGATTCGAGCTGCTCTCCTATTCAAGTTATGTTAATTTGTGTTGTTTTTGTTTTTGGTACCAAATACATAAATGCTTTTTCTTTATTTCTTTCTAATTCAATCTCACCCAGAAGAAGTACAGTCCCATGCAGTCCATACATATCCACCAGCTTCTCAATCAGCATGGGAAACACGAAACTGCCCGCAGCCGTCCCGCTCACGCATATACCGTTGGCTAACGCTCTGAAAGAGACAAAAATATTACCTAAATAGATGGAAAGATATACTTGATGAAGTTGACAAAGAAATGCCGCTATCTTTGCATCAAAAGGGAGTAAAAAGTGTCACGTTTCTTGTTCAATGAACTAACATACTTTGATACTTGTACAACTATAAATTATTATGTTGATAAATTAATATTCCTACATTAACCTCAGAATACAGTAATTCTGAGATATTAACATAAAATTGACTTTACCTGTGCTTATCAAAGTACTGGGAAACGATGACTATTCCAGGTGTAGTTGATAAGCCACCACCGATTCCTGTGGGAAAAATTTACATAGTAAGTATTTAAAAGATAAAAATTGGTCAATTCCAAATTACTTAGTTCTGTTTCTTCAGATTCTGTTCGCTCCTATAACTATTGAATCATGTCAGGCGTGTATGGTGCCTTTACTCGTATGTACCATTTCTCGTCTCTAAGCCGTGTGGCTCCGGCAAAGTTGAATAGAACCACCTCCACTCTTCTCGTGGATGTGAAGAGTCGACTAAGGGATAAACATGAGAACATGTCGCCTCCCCAATCCGTCAGGCCATAGTGAAGTGTTAACCAAATCCTCCACTTGCCTCTGGTCATGTTTCCTGAAGTGGAGACTAAAAGACCTGATGACTACACAAATATATTATGCAAATGTCAAGCCGCTACCATCCGTCTGGCAAGTGTCGGGAGTGCCCATATTCCATAATTCCATAGCAGTGTGTACCTATGTGTTGTTTTATTATTTAGAGAACTGGTTAATACTCGTACCCAGTATCTAGTAAACCCTCAATAGGATTTAACACACTAATGTACGAAAAAAATACATAGTTCATAAGATTGTAATTAAAAACCTGCCTGAACCTGGTAATGATAATGATAATGAAGATTACCAGTCATAACTCCAAAGCTGAGCAGCAGATGGAGGAGTCCAGTGCTGAAGTAGGATAGCGCGAGACCAGTCGCACAGAACAGGCCTCCGATGAACACCACGAGCCGGCAGGAGTACTTCTCGCAGAGGGCCGACGAGAGAGGAGCTGGGGGGAAAATCTGTTGTTAATGGGCTAACGGTTAACTTCGAACTCCTCTTATGTTCTTCTGATTAATTTCGTTGCGGGTTCAATGACAGTTTAACTTTCCCCCGGGACAAACTTGGCCTTCACTGGTTGGGTTATTGCCGGTCAAGCTGTAGATCCTGGCTACACAGGAGTTGCAGTGGTGGGAAAGAGAGGTGGGAATAGTCCCGTTTTCAAATTCATTCTAGCCCTAAAACCCTTTTATTTTCAAGCAGCTGAATATAAATTGTTACTAGTTTTATAGACCGGTTAGAACTTGATGTAATCCTGCCACTTCGAAAATCTTTGCTCTCTGCGCACCACGCAAAAAACTCCGAAAGTTTGAGTACTTAACTAAAACTTTCTAACAACAGGCCTGTGAGGCCTCCCTAATCTGTCTAGCCAGCGTGGGAAGTATAAGCTAAATCCTCCATACGTCTTTATTATCAGAGAGGGTTGTCCTCCTGCACTTCCTGCAGTGAAGACCAAATGACCCAACAACTTTATCAAAATTTTCGCATATTACCCGTGGTTAATTTGTCAAAGATATTACCCTCCCTTTCCTGCAAAGCTAGATGAGCCACAGTGATTATAGACCCGAAACTACAAAAATAGCGTAATGAAGTAATTTAGCTCTATTTTGACTCTTATGTAGGCCTAAGATGCGCGCTGTGATAACTTTTATCGACGTCAAAATGTATGGGCAAAATCGATAAAATGGCGTGATAACCGCTTATCGCGGCGTGCATCTTAGGCCTACTGATCAATCTTTTTTGAGTCTTCAGATGTGATTTTATAATTGGCCGTAGACATTCAGACCTTGAGTTTAAATTCAGGTATTCCCACATCGGATTCCCTAACTTCTACCTTAATGAGCGAACGCAAGCGTCCTTGGATATACAGAAGAAAGAAAGAAGAATTCATGTGATTGGTCCAGTAAAACTCACCCAATGCCAAGCAAAGCGTGGACAGCGCAGCGGGAATCCACGACGCGACCGACTCAGACGAGTCGGGGAACGTCTCCATGATCTCCACGTACAGAACGCCGTAGGATTTGAACAGGCCGGCTACCCAGAACTGCACCATGAACGCGCCGAAGACCACCACCCAGCCGTAACCGCCGTCGGGAGGGCTGGTGCTACAGGTGCTGAAAGAAAGTAGGAAACATAGCTTATTTATAATGCGAACCGCTAAGAACTAAAATTCGCTGCCAGCTGCTGTCTTTCCCGAATACTATACTTTTTAAGGCGAGAGTGAATAGGCACTTCCATTCCCAGACTGCATCTCACTTAACACCAGGTGCGATTGCGGTAAAATACCTGCCTTGTTATCCATAAAAAAATACTTCAAAGGCTACTAAGCACAGAGCGCAGATTGTAAGGGAGAGGGTGCAGAAAAGACTTGTCTGACTAAAAGGGGTAAGCGTGACTGGCTTTTCCAGCAAGCATAATGTGGGACTCAGAAGACCTCATACTTTATTCAGCAGCAGTAAATGATGATGATGATGACTCTTTCGCTGCGTGTCCAGCTTCTGCCTTAACTTGCTGAGTGTCCTACATGAGCTACAGCATACGAGCTACTCACTCGGTGGTGTCTGTGGGACCGCGCAGCTGGCGCGAGGCGGCCAGCAGCGGGTGTAGCTAATACTCAATATGTTTAACTAGGGCGAGTAGATGATGATGATGATGACTCATTCGGTGATGGCTGGCAAGGCTCGCAGCGAGTCCAGCTTCTGCCTTAACTTGCTGTGGGTCCTACAGGATTCTCAGCAGGCTACTCACTCAGTGGTGTCTGACGGGCCTCGCAGCTACCTAAGTCCAGATTCTGCCTTAACTTGCTGTATGTCCTACAGGAGTCACAGCAGGCTACTCACTCGGTGGTGTCTGTGGGGCCGCGCAGCTGGCGCGAGGCGGCCAGCAGCGGCCGCGCCGTCACCGACGACAGCGTCAGCAGCGAGTCCTCCTCCTGCTCCGTCGACTTGCTATAGCTCCTGTACAGGAGTGAGCCTTAGCTTGCTGTAGATCCAAGTGGTGTCAGACGTAACTAGGGTGATGTAAGCAATGCCCAAGCACCATGCGAAGGTGCATAAAAGAGCTGACTGACTGTGGACAAGAGTCCAGCGACTTTTCTAGCAAGCGCAGCGTGGGACGTCAGATGTTACAAAGCCAAAGAGTCACTTTCAGCATTTGTCCTCCTTCTACATGACACGTTTTAGCTTTCTGTAGATCCTACAGGAGCTACAGTAGGCTACTCACTCACTCCGTGGACACGGGTGAGCCCGCACCTGACGATAGCGTCAGTAGATTCCTACTCCTCCATGGCACTGCATGCATTAATCCTAATTGTTGAATATTCAGCTTACTGTAGGAGCTGCAGCGGTCGGAATAGTTTCGTTGTAGATCCTACAGGAGCTGCAACAGGCTACTCACTCCGTGGTGTCAGCTGGGGCTTCAGCTGACGACAAGAGAGAATCCTGCTCCTAGAGCATATCGTCCCTTAGCTAACAACACCGCGTAAGTCATTTTTACCAACTTTACAGGAGACGAAAAAAACTGATTATTTTAAAAAATCGGTGGATTATTCCTATTGTTACGTATTAAATACTTTATTTAGCGGTTGAGAAATAATTATTTATACTTAATTTGACGATTTAATTTATTTTAACCTATATTTTATGACTTGAGCGGTATTGACTGATATTTTTGTAGAGTTAGGCGGTGTTGTTTGCCGAAATGTAAAGGAATAAGGTATTAATAGATGATTTACATAGAAAAATTTTATTAAGAATTATTTAAAAAATAATTAAACAATCATTATAACCTACGACCTATTCTATCTTTAACCTAAATCTTAAGAATCACAGTGTGTAGATCAAATATTGTGAGGGGGGGCCTTTAACGCGAAACTGGGCAAACGAAACGACAATGAGCTGGAAATGGGGCAATTTGGGTATGGAGAGAGAAACGCACGTGGCTAACTGCTGTGGTTGGCTTTATGGAGAGGGATGATGAACTCCTTCTTCAGAAAGCCAAAACAGCGAAAGTAGATTTCGCTGCATCCCAATGACGCTATGAAATATGAGATCAACTCCATCGTGTCGACGTAGAAGCATGTTGTCTGTGAGGTCAATTTGGTCAAAACAGGAAACAATCACCAAATGGTAAGGGGCACATTAAATATAAGTCCGAATCTCGATAGATGTCGACTGATAAAGTGTACACTCCGCCCAGCGTCCATCCAACCCCGAAAGCTCAACTCGAGTTGCAAAATCGTTTCCAATGCCAGGACATTGCAAAAATGTAAGAGTACAATGGTAGGTTCTTGGGAATTGTAAAAAAAACGGTCTTTAAAACCCGTTGTTTAAGAGAAACAAAAAAGATCTCTGATCTCATCAATAACCTTATAGAAGAGAGACGAAACATGGATCTGCAGTCATCTGAAGATGCTACTCAGTATCGGCGTCTTAACAGATAGATCTCTAAGTCTTTTGACTCGCGACCTACGCATAAAATACAGACGATTGAGCATAACAAGGGCTCTAAGGTGTTCGTAAGAGATTCGTCTGTCTGTTGGCCAAAGCCAACTGATCAAGCTGAAGACCGAGAAGAGCGTCGGGGCCTGAGATATTGAAAGAGGTTGATAAGTTCTACGGACAATTATACACGACTGTGTTCACACCTGTTACAAAAATCTAACCGAAGACCCAAGAGCTAGATTAACCCGACACAATACCTAAGATATCCCGAACGCCAGTCTACACGAGCTTGGAATAGCTCTGGAATAGCTCTAAACAACAAGGCCCGGGTGATGATAGAATTACGGCTCAGCTTTTGAAAGCAGGTGAAATGTCAATGCTAAAGGCTCTTTGGAAGCTGTTCTATTCCGTCATCCTCGGGGGAAAAACTCCTACGGCACGGCACAGAAGTGTGGTGATACTCTTCTTCAAAAAACGGCGATAAAACCTTGTTGAAGAATTATAGACCCATCTAACTTCTGAACCGTGTCTACAAGCTGTTTTCAAGTAATTATGAATCGTCTAACTCGCCGACTCGACGCCTTCCAGCCTCCTGATCAAGCTGGTTACCAGCCTGGCTAGCAGACTTTAGTGTCTTAGATCACAAACATACGCTGCGGCAGATTATACAGAAGACCGAGGAGTATAATCAGCCACTTTGCCTGGCGTTTGTGGATTATGAGATAGCCTTCGATTCGAATGAAACCTGGGCAGTTGTTTACGCCGTTTAAGTCCTGCTTCTTGTAATTGTGCACATAAAAATTCATCACATGAATTCGGAATACTTCAAGAATCAATTCCTTCTCCATCAATAGTATATTTCACTTGTATATCTTCCTAAAAGAATTAAAATACAGTTTGAAACACCGCCTAAGTTTGAAAAAAAAAATTGTAAACACCGCTTAAGTAAATGAAGATATTTTCTATTTATCATTTCCTTATATATTAATACGCGTAAATCATTAAAAAATACATTATTATATAGCTTACCTCTTAATCTTCTATTAAAACTTCTTTCATAGACCTTTTCGCGAGAAAACTCACTTAAAAATATAAAAATTACGGAGCGTGAAGGAACTTTACGAGAAATGTATGGCAGACTAACGACTTGAGCGGTGTTGCGAGGCAAACCGACTTGCGTGGTGTCACTAAAATTCAAATTACGGCTTCTTATTGGCTGAAATCTATAACAAATGACCAATGGTTAGACGCGCGATGAGCAGATCTATCGAATGGCATTAAAATGTCAAAACCGCCAAAAATCGACTTAGGCGGTGTTGTTAGCTAAGGGACGATATGGCTCTGGGTTTCTATGGATCCTACAGGGGCTACAGCAGGCTACTCACTCGGTGGTGTCTGTGGGGCCGCGCAGCTGGCGCGAGGCGGCCAGCAGCGGCCGCGCCGTCACCGACGACAGCGTCAGCCAGCAGCGAGTCCTCCTCCTGCTCCGTCGACTTGCTATAGCTCCTGTACAGGAGTTGCAGCGGTGGTACCAAGAGCTAGGAATAGTCCCATGTATAATTATACATTAATCGCAGCAGGATACTTGCTCGCCGCACTCCTCCTTCTCCTGGAGAAGCCTTAGCTTGCTGTGGATATTGCAGGAGCTACAATAGGCTACTCACTCTGTGGAATTGGGTGGGCCCGCACCTGACGATAGCATCAGTAGAGAGTCCTGCTCCTGGTCAATACACCCTGGGTTTCTGTGGATCCTACAGGAGCTACAGTAGGCAGTATAAGATAATGATGATGACTCACTCGGTGGTATCGGACGGGTTTTGCAGCGAGCCCAGCTCCTGCACAGGAGTGAGCCTTAGCTTGCTGTAGATCCAAGTGGTGACAGACGTAACTAGGGTGATGTAAGCAATGCCCAAGCACCATGTGAAGGTGCGTAAAAGAGCTGACTGACTGTGGACAAGAGTCCAGCGACTTTTCTAGCAAGCGCAGCGTGGGACGTCAGATGTTATAAAGCCAAAGAGTCACTTTCAGCATTTGTCCTCCTTCTACCTAGCTTTAGCTTTATGTGGATCCTACAGGAGCTACAGTAGGCTACTCACTCACTCCGTGGACACGGGTGAGCCCGCACTTGACGATAGCGTCAGTAGATTCCTACTCCTCCATGGCACTGCATGCAGTAAGTCCTAATTGCTGAATATTCAGCTTGCTGCAGGAGCTGCAGCGGTCGGAATAGTTTCGTTGTAGATCCTACAGGAGCTGCAACAGGCTACTCACTCGGTGGTGTCTGTCGGAGCTCGCAGCTAGCCCGAGAATTCGAGATCCTTGGGGGAGGCCTTGTCCAGTGCCATGCAGCAATTACTAATTGCTGAATACGCCTCGGCTTGCTGTAGAAGTGTAGATCCTACAGGAGCTGCAGCAGGCTACTCACTCGGTGGTGTCTAACGGGCCCCGCAGCTAATCCAGCTTCTGCCTCAACTTGCTGTGGGTCCTACAAGAGCTACAGCAGGCTACTCACTCGGTGGTGTCTGTAGGAGCTCGCAGCTAGCCCGAGAATTCGAGATCCTTGGGGGAGGCCTTGTCCAGTGCGATGCAGCAATTACTAATTACTGAATACGCTTCAGCTTGCTGTAGAAGTGTAGATCCTACAGGAGCTGCAGCAGGCTACTCACTCCGTGGTGTCAGGTGGGGCTTCAGCTGACGACAAGAGAGAATCCTGCTCCTAGAGCATATGGCTCTGGGTTTCTATGGATCCTACAGGGGCTACAGCAGGCTACTCACTCGGTGGTGTCTGTGGGGCCGCGCAGCTGGCGCGAGGCGGCCAGCAGCGGCCGCGCCGTCACCGACGACAGCGTCAGCAGCGAGTCCTCCTCCTGCTCCGTATACTTACTGTAGCTCCTGTACAGGAGTGAGCCTTAGCTTGCTGTAGATCCAAGTGGTGACAGACGTAACTAGGGTGATGTAAGCAATGCCCAAGCACCATGCGAAGGTGCATAAAAGAGCTGACTGACTGTGGACAAGAGTCCAGCGACTTTTCTAGCAAGCGCAGCGTGGGTCGTCAGATGTTATAAAGCCAAAGAGACACTTTCAGCATTTGTCCTCCTTCTACATGACACGTTTTAGCTTTCTGTAGATCCTACAGGAGCTACAGTAGGCTACTCACTTAGTCCGTGGAGTCGGGTGAGCCTGCACCTGACGATAGCGTCAGTAGATTCCTACTCCTCCATAGCACTGCATGCAGTAAGTCCTAACTGTTGAATACGCCTCAGCTTGCTGTAGGAGCTCCAGCGGTCGGAACAGTCTCGTTGCAGATCCTACAGAAGCTACAGCATGCTACTCACTCGGTGGTGTCCGGTGGGGCTTCAGCTGACGACAAGAGAGAATCCTGCTCCTAGAGCATATGGCTCTGGGTTTCTATGGATCCTACAGGGGCTACAGCAGGCTACTCACTCGGTGGTGTCTGTGGGGCCGCGCAGCTGGCGCGAGGCGGCCAGCAGCGGCCGCGCCGTCACCGACGACAGCGTCAGCAGCGAGTCCTCCTCCTGCTCCGTCGGCTTGCTATAGCTCCTGTACATGAGTTGCAGCGATGGTACCGAGAGCTAGGAATAGTCCCATGTATAATTCTACAGAAATCGCAGCAGGATACTTGCTCGCCGCACTCCTCCTTCTCCTGGAGAAGCCTTAGCTTGCTGTTGATCCTATAGGAGTACACTCCGTGGAGTCGAGTGAGCACATCTGACGATAGCGTCAGTAGATTCCTACTCCTCCATAGCACTGCATGCAGTAAGTCCTAACTGTTGAATACTGCTCGTTTGCCTCCTGTCACATAAAAAAAAATACGCCTCAGCTTGCTGTAGGAGTTGCAGCGGTCGGAACAGTCTCGTTGTAGATCCTACAGGAGCTACAGCATGCTACTCACTCGGTGGTGTTGGGTGGGGGGCTTCAGCTGACGACAGGAGAGAATCCTGCTTTTAGAGCATATGGCTCTGGGTTTCTATGGATCCTACAGGGGCTACAGCAGGCTACTCACTCAGTGGTGTCTGTGGGGCCGCGCAGCTGGCGCGAGGCGGCCAGCAGCGGCCGCGCCGTCACCGACGACAGCGTTAGCAGCGAGTCCTCCTCTTGCTCCGTCGACTTGCTATAGCTCCTGTACAGGAGTTGCAGAGGTGGGACCGAGAGCTAGGAATAGTCCCATGTATAATTCTACAGGAATCGCAGCAGGATACTTGCTCGCCGCACTCCTCTTTCTCCTGGAGAAGCCTTAGCTTGCTGTTGATCCTATAGGAGTACACTCCGTGGAGTCGAGTGAGCACATCTGACGATAGCGTCAGTAGATTCCTACTCCTCCATAGCACTGCATGCAGTAAGTCCTAACTGTTGAATACGCCTCAGCTTGTTGTAGGAGTTGCAGCGGTCGGTATAGTTTCGTTGTAGATCCTACAGGAGTCACAGCAGGCTACTCACTCGGTGGTGTCTGTCGGAGCTCGCAGCTAGCCCGAGAATTCGAGATCCTTGGGGGAGGCCTTGTCCAGTGCCATGCAGCAATTATTAATTACTGAATACGCTTCAGCTTGCTGTAGAAGTGTAGATCCTACAGGAGCTGCAACAGGCTACTCACTCCGTGGTGTCAGGTGGGGCTTCAGCTGACCACAAGAGAGAATCCTGCTCCTAGAGCATATGGCTCTGGGTTTCTATGGATCCTACAGGGGCTACAGCAGGCTACTCACTCGGTGGTGTCTGTGGGGCCGCGCAGCTGGCGCGAGGCGGCCAGCAGCGGCCGCGCCGTCACCGACGACAGCGTCAGCAGCGAAGTCCTCCTTCTGCTCCGTATACTTACTGTAGCTCCTGTACAGGAGTGAGCCTTAGCTTGCTGTAGATCCAAGTGGTGACAGACGTAACTAGGGTGATGAAAGCAATGCCCAAGCACCATGCGAAGGTGCATAAAAGAGCTGACTGACTGTGGACAAGAGTCCAGCGACTTTTCTAGCAAGCGCAGCGTGGGACGTCAGATGTTATAAAGCCAAAGAGTCACTTTCAGCATTTGTCCTCCTTCTACATGACACGTTTTAGCTTTCTGTAGATCCTACAGGAGCTACAGTAGGCTACTCACTTAGTCCGTGGAGTCGGGTGAGCCTGCACCTGACGATAGCGTCAGTAGATTCCTACTCCTCCATAGCACTGCATGCAGTAAGTCCTAACTGTTGAATACGCCTCAGCTTGTTGTAGGAGTTGCAGCGGTCGGAATAGTTTCGTTGTAGATCCTACAGGAGTCACAGCAGGCTACTCACTCGGTGGTGTCTGTCGGAGCTCGCAGCTAGCCCGAGAATTCGAGATCCTTGGGGGAGGCCTTGTCCAGTGCCATGCAGCAATTACTAATTACTGAATACGCTTCAGCTTGCTGTAGAAGTGTAGATCCTACAGGAGCTGCAGCAGGCTACTCACTCAGTGGTGTCTGTGGGGCCGCGCAGCTGACGCGAGGCGGCCAGCAGCGGCCGCGCCGTCACCGACGACAGCGTCAGCAGCGAGTCCTCCTCCTGCTCCGTCGACTTGCTATAGCTCCTGTACAGAAGTTGCAGCGATGGTACCGAGAGCTAGGAATAGTCCCATGTATAATTCTACAGGAATCGCAGCAGGATACTTGCTCGCCGCACTCCTCCTTCTCCTGGAGAAGCCTTAGCTTGCTGTTGATCCTATAGGAGTACACTCCGTGGAGTCGAGTGAGCACATCTGACGATAGCGTCAGTAGATTCCTACTCCTCCATAGCACTGCATGCAGTAAGTCCTAACTGTAGAATACGCCTCAGCTTGTTGTAGGAGTTGCAGCGGTCGGAATAGTTTCGTTGTAGATCCTACAGGAGCTGCAACAGGCTACTCACTCCGTGGTGGCGGGTGGGGGGCCGCAGCTGACGACAGGAGAGAATCCTGCTCCTAGAGCATATGGCTCTGGTTTCTATGGATCCTACAAGGGCTACAGCAGGCTACTCACTCGGTGGTGTCTGTGGGGCCGCGCAGCTGACGCGAGGCGGCCAGCAGCGGCCGCGCCGTCACCGACGACAGCGTCAGCAACGAGTCCTCCTCCTGCTCCGTCGGCGACATCGCCGACAAGTAAGCGCCGACTTGCTGTTGGGGAACACAAGAGTTAGAGTGTTGCAAGAGGAAGGAATAGTCCCGTATTTTGGGAGAATTACGGATTCGTTGAAAACATAAACACTAAAGCGTCTGCGAGCACGTAGAATTTTGTCCGATGACCCCAAGCTACCCATCCTTATCCCTCGCGCGTAATTATATTGCTGTCGCGACTGTGCGACAGGCGCCCCCAGTGAGTGTGCAAGCGCAACAGCAACATAATTACGCGCGAGCGACAAGGATGGGCAGCTCGGGGTCATTGGACAAAATTCTCTACGTGCTGACTATAGTGTTGAAAATAAGAAGATTTTTCACTTTAGTGCATCAAAAAATAATGCTGGTTCTAATCGAATGTTTTGCTTATTTTTCCATTAAAATTTTACAAGTGTAAGTAGGTAGATAGAGAGTTTAGTAGTTTAAAATAATGCTTTGCGCATTCCCACTGGCCACTGGTGGGTTATGTGGGCGAGGCCTACCCACTAAAACCTGACGGTGTCCACACTGTCCACCGGAGCGTCCGGAGCCCAATGAAACGGAGCCGCGAGTCTGTCTGCGGATCCATTTCAGGCTATAGCTTCGAGGAGCCCACCATCCCCCTCCTCCGGTTGTTTTTATAGAGGTTTTCTCCCAACACTTACGGTCAGAGAATCAGAAAGGAGGAGATCCGCTGAAAAACCAAAGTGACCGATGCTATATCGGTCACTGGCTACAGTAGAATTGCTAAAATCAAGTGGCAGTGGGCGGGGCACATAGCTCGTAAAGATGATGGCCACTGGTGCAGAAAGGTTCTCGAGTGGCGACCACGGGCCGGAAGATGTAGCGTGGGCAGGTCTCCCACTAGATGGACCGACGATTTGGTGAAGGTCGCGGGAAGAGCCTGGTAGCGGGCAGCGAAGGACCGGTCGTTATGGAAATCCTTGGGGAAGGCCTTTGCCCAGCATTCGACGTCACTCGCGCTGCTAGTGTCACACTAACAGATGATGATGATGATGATGATGAACACTCACGGTAGCGAGCGGCAGCTCTAGCAGCAAGCTGGTTGGCTCAGGTTCCCCCAATGCTTTCCATGTTGATCGATTGCTAGCGGCCAGCGTCCAGCGCTAGGTTCTGGAATGGAGGCCGCGTACCGGGAAACGCAGCGTGGAACGTCCACCCACAAGGTGGACCGACGACATCGTAAAGGTCCAAGCATATATTTATTTATTTATTTACTTACGGTAGCGAGCGGCAGCTCTAGCAGCAGGCTGGCGGGACGCTCACGCTGCTCCGGCGGAGCTGACTGCACTGACATGAGGGAGCCCGCCTTGTCCGGGGACAGGGCGGCCTGCGGACAACATCATATTATTATATTATTTATACCCACAAATAAATTATTATTCAAAAAAGCTGTCAGATCAGATTAGACCCAAGACCTAGCGTCTAATACAGGGTTCACCAACCTTAACTTGTTTGGTAACCTGTTACGCCCCTCACCCCCTACTGGGGGGCGTGCCCCCCTGGTTGGGAAGTCCTGGTCTAAGACCAGGGGGCGATGTCGAATGCGTTTGACGTAAACTCACAACACTACGCCCCCAGAGCACTTAGCAAGACATGAAAGTTACTTCGTACAAAGTTCCTATGGCCATCTTCTGGCTACATAATCAGACCAGTTTCATGACATCATTAGTTATTTTGGACTAAAACACGTCACACCCACACAAAATACACAGATGTCAAACTACAACACCCCTCTCTTTGACGGGTGAAAAAGGCACACTACCATCGATAGAATCACCCCCACTCTTCTCGTGGATGTCGTAAGAGTAAGACAATATATTATGAGGCATGCAAATGAATCACCTCCGCGATGGTCTCCGAAGGCAGGTCGATGGAGCATGATAACGGAGCTGACGATGGCGGTGCTGACGTACCGAGGATCTCGCCGTCAAGCTTTGACAGCTCCTGCAACAAGGACATTAAACATTTTAATAATAGGGCTGTTTCCTGTATAAAAAGGGAAAGGAAAGGGAAGCTTCGCGATATTCTCACGTCCGAAATACCGCAGTGTCTCAAGACAAAAATCTTTGACCAGTGTGTGTAGGTTTATGTTGGTCGGGAGGTACCTATGATAAAAAAAAACGAAAATCTGAAAACATGTCTTAAACGGTTCAGCCGACTAATACAATGCAATAGAAAAGTAGATTTAATAATCTTACACATACATGCGTTGACGCGTTATGTCGCAAAAATTCCGTTCCGTCCGTCCAACATTACGCCAAAATGCTATGTAATTTCAGCCGCTATGTCGCAAGTTGACTGAACTTTCAGCTGCGTAAAATGTAGAGACCTCAGAAGGCTTCTAAAACCCCTCTTATAATTTAAAGTAATGTATACGTTAGTATGTCCCATAAAAACATTGTGAGCATGTAACCTTAATTTTACACTTTCAGTAAAAATGGCGCTAACAGACAACGCCATTTTAACGTAAAGTATTTTTCGTTCAACGACCTTTCAGAACGATTTATCACGTGACTAGTCTATAGCAATAAACGTCAATATTTAATGGTGTCTTGTCTTCGGTCAATGACCTTTGGTACACGGTATTTTTTTGACTTGGAGCTTTGTCATTTGTTTTATTCCCAACGAAAAATAAGGGGTTTTAAAAGTCTAAACTTGAAGGAATTTAAAAGATACCTACATATACCTTGATTTTTTTGAATCCAGCAGAGATGTAAACAAACACTTTCATACACAATTACACCATAATAATCACTTACGTGTTCATAATATCATACACACTATTTAACAAGCCCATGAAACCAACTTTATTTTCACGTTTATACAAGTTTGAAATCAATCTTTGAAACAAATTATTTTAGCAAAATACGTGGACGATGAAAATTTGTGACATTGTCAAATTGACTTGACGTTTAAAATCATGTGTTATCTCCATATTGTCTATGACTTGTCTCTGACACATCAGTGCCGTAACCTGTGAGTCATAGACAATAATCTGTAAATTTAATCGATATTATTTTAAGTATTCACTTATTCCGATTACTGATTAATTTTAAATAAAAAATATACGATACTTTGCTTAGTTTTCCAGCGATAACTTCGACAATATTGGAGATAACGTAAATTTATTTTTCTACTTTTAGTGTTTACTTTTTCGGAGTCAGTTTAATTTTTAGTCGGTTTTATTTAAACGAAATTATTTTACTTTTTTATGCAATTATGCTTACGTATTGTTCCATTGTTTATTTTTAAGAAAATAAAAAACTTCTTTCAATGAGGGTTTTCGCGATTGAAAAATCCGCCAGATGGCAATACGTAGACGCGAGGTCCAAATGCTGCATGATTGGTTATTTTTGACATGACATTGACAGATATGTCAAAATCCACCAATCACGCAGCAAGCAACAGAAGTTTAATAACTTTACGGATATCATTGATTGTTTTACTGTCCAGTGTGCTTTTTGATTACATCTGTGCATACAGTTTGTTTCCTGTTCTCGAAAATTTCATAATCAGTTCACATTCAATGTTGCGACTTTGTTGCATATTTTTAGTATTTTGACGATCACCCGGCGATGATACGCAAGTACTACAACATTTCACTTCGCGATTAACGAGAGGTTTTGTCGCATCACTAGTTCACAGACTAAAAATATTTTTATGTCAGTTGGCCATATTTGATGACATTTCTGCTGATTTCTAAAAAATTAGACTTTATACCATACCATACCATATATGTAAAAGTTATTATTGTTCTGCAATAGGCTTTTAAAAAGCACTTTTACACGTCCCAGTATTAACCCTACCACTGCTTCGGGACAATAAATGGGCCAGTGCTGAGAAGAAGCAGCGCAAGAAACTCACGCCCGTATTCACAAATGATGCCAGCAAATCGAACGCACAGCGTTGAATCGAGGTCTGTGATTGGTGCGTATGTCACCCTGTGCGTTCACGCGCACTGGGAGACCTCATAGTAATGTTTGTGAATACGGGCGTCAGTAGGTATCTAAATAAGTAGGTAGAAGAAGAAAAATGGCAACAGAAATGCAACGCAAGCTCTACCTACCTACGCTCATCAAAGGTACCTATAGTTTGTAAAAGCAATACTAGATTACCTACTTAATTATTCTATTAATATAAGTATTGATTTCTTCCCGGAACGGTTGCAGCTGTGAACTTACGTCATAGCGTAACGATGACGTCACTATTGCCTCCCCGATCTGGTTTGCGTAACTAGAGCAAAAAAACATCAACCCCACGGCCCACGCGGGGCTTCACATAAGGGCAGAATTTATAGGATTATGGTTTATACTTGGCAGCGATTTACACTGTGATTGCAACCACATGGGTTTACATACAATGTAGAGTAACTATTTTACAAAAAAGTAGGTTTATTTCTCAAAAGAGAACCTGAAAGTTACCAGACTGTACCTATTATTCGCAATCTGAAAAAGTTACATCTCATGTAGAGCCAGACTACTAACTCTACACGCCCTTACTTATTATCTTTGTTCTTGTATTTTGTGTCAACTAGAGATTTTGAATTTCTATTCTATTTCTATAACTTCAAAAACTCTACGCCTGAGTCAAAATGACGAAAAGCTTCGAGAAAGGGTAGGGTCTATGTCTATCATGAAAGAACCTTTATGTATGTCACCAACACGGTACAATAAAGAATTTGAATTTGTATTTGAATTAGGTAGGTCGTCGTCTTAGTTATTAAGTTTCTTGATCTTCTTCTTTTTACACTAAGACTTATACATACTAACATGTAGGTCAAATCAACCAATGAAAAGCCCCAATTTATCCTTGAAATTTAATTAAATTCTGAGCTTTTGTAGAAACTGTAAAAGGGCTTTTTAAAAGCCTTTTCAACGGAAAGTAAATTACTTTTAAGACTGTTCGGTACCTACGAACCGTTAGACTTATGTAGTGTACTAGTGCTATATCACGAACTTATTGTCTGTTATTGGAATCAATCAACCAAAGTCCTCAACCTATCGATCCTCTATTTCAGTCACTATAGTTAAATTATTGAGTAGGTATTTCGTCCCATCGAAGGATTTAAGTCCAATCACTTTATCGTCACGCACGTATTGTTCAGCAAATATATACGAGTATTAGTACCAACTCGTACCTCATCATCATTTGAGCCATATGACGTCCACTGCTAAACATAGGCCTCCCCCAATGATTTCCACATCGCCCGGTTGGTAGCGGCCTGCATCCAGCGCCTTCCTGCTACCTTTATGAGGTCGTCGGTCCACGTTGTGGGTGGAAGTCCTACGCTGCGCTTTCCGGTACGTGGTCTCCGCTCCTACTTCCTAGCTTTCTACTCGTACTTAGTTATTCTAATTTCTTGTTTTAACCTAATGTCCAATGTTGGACAAAGGCCTCCCCATGGATTTCTACCAGCCCTGCACTGTCCTCACCCAGGTGCTTCCTTTAACAGATTATTATTCTTTATCTTAATTTTTGATTCATTATTTTTTTCACGTAGACTTTTGATAAGGTTTTTCGGCCATCCCAGCACAATCTACCTAAGTTACCGATTGAAAATCTTTTCGTCACTCAGGTTAAAGCCTCAGGCGAAAAGTTTCGAAACTTAATCCCTCATTAACTAATCTTTCGCTTTTTCACAAAACCTCTTCGCTCACCTTCAGCTTGGAAATCTGATTGGTTATTCAAGCACATCTCCTCTCCTCTCCATTTGTCTCCGCTTTGTTTTAACCGGGTTTACTTGCTTCCACTCTTCTATGTCAATCAATCGAACAAATACCGATTTTCTACTTCTAATAATAACAACTATCAGTACGGGAATCGATAGCAGCCTCGACCTATCGATTGGTTATTTTAGTCGCTGATAAACTATCGAGCAGTTAATCTGAACGATGGATTTGGTATCTTAACGACTCTGACGACCTTCTCTTAGAAGCCTAAAGATATTTGACAAAGTGATAACAATATGCAGTTTAGGTTAGTGTCCGTGACTTCCATCGCTTGCGACAGGGTAGCACTGCCACGGCACTGCTCAGTTCACTTTTTATTTCCTTGTAATATTTATATGTGCTATTTCTGTTTTTTTTCCGTAGGTATACCTTCTTTGTCCTGATGTTCATCGTAAATCGTAATAAATGTTTCTTTCTTTCTTTCTAATTTAGACATGAAGGTAAGCTAGAATGTGTCAAAGAGGCAGATGAAACGCCACTACTACACATTCTCACGGACGGACCTTTGATGCGCGAGGAGCTTACACCTGGGCAAACACATCCTAAGCCCATAAGATGTAAATATCGCCCTCCAAAAGATATAATGGATGCAGGACTCAGAGGCCCACTGTAAGGAAAACAGTGGCGATCACAATAGATCGGTACCAGTCGCAGTGATACTGGGGACTTCATAGAACCAGAATAGCCGCTCAACACAGAAAAAGTTACCCCAAATGTGATACCTAGTAATTTAGATGACAAAATGTGTAGAAGCTATAAGATTGTCTGTTGGTCTGTCGCCACAACAATGAGCATTGTTGTTCCGGCAGTTGGAGGTAAGATAGCCAGTTCCTCTGTGGTTGAGGATTCCGTGTGAAGCTTGCTTCCTTCAGCTTGATATTTCATCGGGTAAGTTGCAAGCCTAGTGATTCTCCGTTAAAAAAAGTTTCATCGAAATCTCTCTTGGATTTTCTTAGTGAAGAAACTTCACTTTTGTGCTTTCGTCCTCAAAATACTCATCTTTTTTATCGTAACTCGTTTTATAACGATTTAGTACGTGGCACGAGTAAGTAGGGGAACCTGTTGAACCTTGGACAGAGTTGTACCTAAAACAATTGTATATATTTTTTAAATTATGAGGTTTTATGAAAAGTTGTCTAGGGTATTACATACGTTATTTGTCAACATTAACGTGAAGTTAGCTAAGATTCGCCGACGCCGTGCAAGTACAAGAAA